CATGATTGTGTAGCCTAGTGAACCAAACTGAGAGACCATTTTGAAGGCTCAGGAAACCTTTGCAGGTGTTTTGAGTTGATTAGCTGATTGGCATGTCACCATATTCTAATTTGTTGAGATAGTGAATTGGTGGGTTTTTGTTAAATGTGAGCCAAAATCATCACAATTAAAAGAACCAAAGACTTAAACTACTTCAGTCTGTGCATTGAATTTATTTAATACACGAGTTTCACAATTTGAGTTGAATTACTGAAATAAATGAACTTTTCCACGACATTCTAATTTATTGAGATGCACCTGTATAGTAACATTTTGCTATACAGTATATCCAATTATACTATATATCCAATTTTATAAATATAGCTATGTGATGTTATAGTTCACATTTTGTTATATATCCAGCTTTATATATATAACTGTGCGATAATAGTATACATTTTGCTAAATATCCAATTATACTATATATCCAACTTTATATATAGAGCTGTGAGATAACATAGTAACATTTTGCTATATATCCAGTTATACTATATATCCAATTTTATAAATATAGCTGTGTGATGTTGTAGTTCACATTTTGTTATATATCCAGCTTTATATACAGAACTGCGGTAATATAGTAACATTTAGCTAAATATCCAATTATACTATATATCCAGCTTTATATATAGAGCTGAGATAATATAGTAACATTTTGCTATATATACAATTATACTATATATCCAGTTATACTATATATCCAGCTTTATATATATAACTGTGCGATAATAGTATACATTTTGCTAAATATCCAATTATACTATATATCCAACTTTATATATAGAGCTGTGCGATAATAGTTTACATTTAGCTAATGTGAGATAATAGTTTACATTTTGCTAAATATCCAATTATACTATATATCCAGCTTTATATATAGAGCTGAGATAATATAGTAACATTTTGCTATATATCCAATTATACTATATATCCAACTTTATATATAGAGCTGTGCGATAATAGTTTACATTTAGCTAAATATCCAATTATACTATATATCCAGCTTTATATATAGAGCTTAGGTAATATAGTAACATTTTGCTATATATCCAATTATACTATATATCCAACTTTATATATAGAGCTGTGCGATAATAGTTTACATTTAGCTAAATATCCAATTATACTATATATCCAGCTTTATATATAGAGCTTAGGTAATATAGTAACATTTTGCTATATATCCAATTATGCTATATATCCAATTATACTATATATCCAGCTTTATATATAGAGCTGAGGTAATATAGTAACATTTTGCTATATATCCAATTATACTATATATCCAATTTTATAAATATAGCTGTGTGATGTTATAGTTCACTTTTTTTTAATATTTAGAGTTGTGCGATAATATATTTACATTTTGTGATGAAAAAATGTCAAGCGTCCATGAATCAGATATTGTTCATATACGACAGATGCATGTTTTTCTTGCAGATGCTGATGAGTGACGAGGGAATGAAGAGGCGAAGAACAATCGTCCTGTTTCTGTCCCTCCGTTTGATTTTTCCTACATTTCACGCGACAGTTGATCTGATTCTCCGTGCCAAACGCTGACGAAAATTGGTCGTTTTTTACATTTTTGTTTACATACTTGAAGCAAAGCACTTTTTTTATTTCTTTCGTCCTCTTGCCGCATCGAAACCAACACGGACATTTTGTAAATGAGTGAAAATATCAGGGAATTTCCTCCATGAAGCTGAACTACTGCTGGACTGAGCTGCTGCTGTACGAGCGATAAATGAAGGAACGAATCACTGGACGAACCGTGAGAAGGAACCGACTCCTGATTCAAGCCTTTCACTCGTGTTCGCGATGCCTTCTCCACCAGCAGGGCCTTTATTTCGTACCGTTGGAGGAGAGCAACACTTTTGATACTTGCTTTTTTGTACATTTTGGGGACATTTTTATGCGAACTTTTAAAAAGACTGACGTTTAAAACCTTTTGAAAGATACCCTTTGTATTTTATAGATTAGCAATGATGTAAATGTGAATTTAAACCTGTGTTGTACAGATCTCTAACACGTCACGCAAACAACACGCTAACCCATCCGAGCGTTTCATCTGAATCACATCTGCACGATTTATTTACGCAAACGTCACTGCCACCGTTGAGTTTTATCGTACAATGTGCTGCTTCAGTCTTCTGAGACTCTCCAGACGGGACTTTTGATAACAAATCATGCTGTACAGTTTTATACACATACTGTTCTTCGCTCTGTGCTTTATTATGGAAGCATGTTTAAGCCATGGGATAAAAAATGTAAAATTGCAACTTTTTATCCCACAATTAACTTTTTTTTTTCCTCAGAGTTGCGAGATATAAACACGCATTTAAAATTCCGAGATGTTAATTTGAGATTTCTGATTTACATTTTAAATTTTTTTTATTTCATGTCGGAAACAAAAAAACCATGATTGTGAAATATAAACTCAGAATTATAAGGGAAAAAAAACTAAAAATTGTGAGATGTGAACTTGCAATATGGAAAAAATAAAATCAGAATTTTAAGATTAAAACGTTGCAGTTATATTTGATATTTTTTTATACTGTTGCAGAAACAAAAAACAAAACACAGAATTGTGAGAAACAATTCAGAGGAAAACAATTGTGAAGATGTAAACTCGCGATTATTAGTTTATAAATCGAAAATATACAAATATTGCTAAATATAAACTTAAAGTCTGAATTATGAGATAAAAAGTTTAAATTACATTTTTTATTTTTATTCCATGTTGGAAACAAAAAATATTTGTGAGATGTAAACTTGTTTAAATTGTGAGAGCATATAACTCGCAATTTTGTTGGAAAAAGTCAGAATTGCGTGATATAAACTCACAATTCTGAGAAAAATTTTGATTTGTGAGATGTAAACTTGCAATTTGGAAAAAATAAATAAATAAAAAATAAATAAAACTAAGATTAAAAAGTTGGAGTTAACTTTTAAAAAAAAATGTATACCATTGCAGATACAAAAACAACAACAACAAACAAACAAAAAACGTAATTGTGAGAGGTAAACAAACAGAATTCAGAGGGAAAAACAGTCAAAATTGTAATATGCAAAATCGCAATTAAGAGTTAAAGGGAGAGTTCACCCAAAAATGAAAATTAGCCCATAAATTACTCACCCGACTGATGCATGCAACACCTGCTGAGTGGCATTAAACAGCTTGAAAGATCAAAGACAATTTTTAATATAACTCCGACTGGATTCGTCTGAAAAAAGAAAGTCATATACACCTAGGATGACTTGAGGGTGAGTAATTTATGGGCTAATTTTCATTTTTGGGTGAAGAACCCTTTAAAAACTTGCAATTGTGAAATATAAACTTGAGATATAAAAGTCTGAATTGTGAGACATAAACTCACGAGTGGAAGGAAAACAGTCTGAATTGTGAGATGAAAAAGTTGCAATTACATTTTTTTTTCAGTGGTGGAAACTAAAAAGGATTGTGAGAAACTCAGAACTCAGAAAAAAAAGTCAAAATGATGAGATGTAAACTCACAATTGCAAAAAAAGTCAGTTACGTTTCTATATTTTTTACTCCTTCCATCCTTCCTCCCTGTATTTCTGTGACTG